CACGTTCCTGGGGGCAGAGGGTGTGCTCTCAAGCCCCTCTCGGCGAGGAATGGGCGATTGGGGGTCGATGCATCCCCCCCTGAGCCTGTCCCCCCCTAAACGTTGATAGAGGCCTCCTAGATGGGGTCTGGGTAGATGGGGTCGAAGGATCGCGCAGCATCGCCAATACATCGCCGATGTATCGGCGATGCATCGGCAATGCACCGGCGACGTCGGCGATGCATCGGCGACGTCGGCGTGGAGGAAATCGGACCCCTCATCGAGCAACATCGCTGATGCATCGGCGATGCGGCGCGATCCTCCGACCCCATCTACTCTTACCCCGTCTAGGAGGCCTAGAGTTAACCGTGAGCCTTTAATCCAGAAGTTGTAGGTCAGGCGCGCACCCCAGGCCGTCACCAGCAGGCACATCACAGAAGAAGAAAACACGCACAGGCACAAACCTTCGGAAGTGCGCGGGCACATCGGACCAGCCTGCGCTGGGCCCTCTCCCCTGACTTCGGGACCGCCCTGCTTTGGTCGACGCTCCGACACAACATTGTATCGGAAATGCACCCCAACCGATGCGAACAAGTAAAGCGGAAATCGCCGCCTCAGAAACAAAATGGCGGATGATAGTTCCGCAACAGCATGGTTAGAAGTAGAAACAACACTGCATAAACATAAACTTTTGGCGCTCCGCGCGTATTTCTTAGATCTGCGCTGGGCCCCCCTTCCTGGTGCGCGGAGCGCGCCAGGGGCGGCGCCGGAGGCGCCGCCGAAGGGGGGCGCAGCGCGGACCCAAAAATCAGCGCGGAGCGCCGAAAGCATATGTTTATGCCGCTGCTTTTTCTTCGAATGGTGGAAACAGCGTCAGTAGAGCAAAGCGGAAAGCGGCATCCGAGGAGCTCGACGCTGAGAACAGATAGGGCGGAAATTCCCGCCCCGGTAAAAATAGGAGCTGATACTTCTGCTAAAGCATGGTTAGAAAAAGAAAACTGCATAATCATAAGCTTTTGGCGCTCCGCGCGGACTTCTAGGATCTGCGTTGGGCCCCCCTCACTGGCGCGCGGAGCGCGCCAGGGGCGGCGCTGGAGGCGCCGCCGAGTGGGGGGCCCAGCGCAGACACGAAAAAATCCGCACGGAGCGCCCAAAGCATGTTTATGCCGTTCTTTCGTCTTCGAATGGTAGAAACAGCGACGGCAGAGCAGGGTACATCCTGGATGCACTCTGGTTTTCGTCCTCCAACTCCTCTAGGGCGTTGCTCGATGGGGGGGGGGGAGGGGGCAAAAAGCCGGTGGGGGGCAAAAAGCCGGTGGGGGCCTGGGCCTCCTCAGTGGGGGGTGCAAAGAACAACTAATTTTCGTGCGCCCTCGGGGCCCCAGGGAGCCCCTTTGTCGGAATGCGGGCCACCTGAGACAACGGCGGCTGTCTCGCCCAACAGCGACGGCAGAGCAGGGCGGAAAGCGGCATCAGAGCAGCGCGACCGGCAGGACGGAGATGTCCACCCTCTGCTTTCGAGATCCTCCTCCTCCTCCTCCTCCTCCTCCTCCTCCTCCTCCTCCTCCTCCTCCTCCTCCTCCTCCTCCTCCTCCTCTCCCTCCTCCTCCTCCTGGGGTCCGGAGTCGGCGGTCCCCCTGGTGCGAGAGGAGCGCGCCGGGGCGCTGGCGCCGGGAGCGCCGCCAGGAGGCGCGCGGGCGTAATTCTTCGCATTCGCCGTCGTATTCGCAGTCGTCGTGTTCGCAGTCGTCGTGTTCGTATCTGTATGTGTCGTCGTCGTATTCGTCGTCGTCGTCGCGGGCCTTCGAGAAGACACGGTCGGCGGCGGAGAGGCAGCGCGCGGCACCGATCTCCGAAGAGCACGCTCTACCCCTGTGGGGCAGTGGCCCCCACGAGGACCCCATTCGGTGCGCACTGTCCCCCCGCCGACGCTTCGTCGGTGCACGGTGTCCCCAGGGTGGGGGCACGGCGTGTGCGAAGCGGGCCGGCGGCGCCTCATCGCACGCTGCACCTTCCAGCCCCAGCCATGTGCCTGTGCCGCATTTTCTGCTTCGGCATCAGCAGCAGGCGCCCCGAGGGCACGCCAGAGAGGCACCAGTGCCACACGCGTAGAAGAAGAAAAAGCCGTACAAACATTAGGTCGGGCATGTCCTCCTACAGGCGGATTTTGGACGGAAGATAAAACATGTTTAAACAACTATTCAAAAATAGATAGGAATAGCCAGAACATCGTCCCCAGAGTAGTTTTTAATTATTTTTGAAAATTTGTCCTGTAGAGGGACATGCCCGGCTTAATACAAACATGCAGTTTCGGAGCTCCGCGCGGCCCTCTTGTAACGGCGCTGCGCCCCCCCCCCACCCCCCCTCTGGCGTGCCCGAGGCGGCGACAGAGGCGCCGCCAGGGGATTTCCAACGCTGGTCCGAGAACACTCGCAGGAGCTCAGAAAATGTGTGCTCACAAAGAAGATTTCTTCTTCGGATGTAGAGAACGGGCATGATGGACCTCGGCGGCGCTTACGAGGGGGGCAGCGGGGACGGGGGGGAAGGGTTCTTAGAAGCGGGAGTGTTTCTAAGACACCTGTCCCCCCTCCCCAGTACACCCTTCTGCGTGTGTAGAAGAAGACAGAACGCTAAAAACATAAACGCTGGCGCTCCGCGCGGATTCCGTGGCTCCGCGCTGGGCCCCCCCCGGCGCCGCCCCTGGCGCGCTCCGCGCGCCAGGGAGGGGGGTCCAGCGCGGATCCAAAAATCCCGCGCGGAGCGCCAAGAGTTCATGCCTATGGCGCTTCTTCTTCGACCCTCTGCGTGTGGCCGAAGACCACAGGCGGTCCACGATCGACGGGTCGGACGTGCCGGTGTGCGGAAGGCTCCTCAGCGACGCGAGCCAGACCACGAGGGACAGCGCGCCACAGAAGGCCACGGTGCGGCCCCACGGGTCGGCGGCCCAGGGCTCGAGGAGGCACCCGAGGGGGGCCTGCAGGCAGAGTGTTAGGTCGGGCGTGTCCTCCTACAGACGGATTCCGGAAGAACAATAAGCAAACATGTCAAAGCATGGCCCCAAATCTTTGGGAAAAAACGCGAAGATCGTGCCACGATGATTTGTTCACCATTCTTGAATACTCCTCCTGTAGAGGGACGTGCCCGACTTCGTTGGCGGCGCGCACGAGGGGGCAGGGGGAGGGGGGCAGGCCTCTCAGAGGGGGCCTGCTTCTGGGAAGGCGCGGGCCCGACATGTACAGACGAGGCCCGCGCCTTCTGTGAGAAGCAGGGGTGCCTCTAGGAAGGCTTTCCCCCCTCCCCCATGCCCCCCCTTCTGCGCGCGCGTGGCCGACATACACTCGAGAAACTCGAGAAACTCGAGTCCCTCGCTGAGAAACTCGAGAAACTCGAGAAACTCGAGAAACTTGAGACCTTCAGAGTCCCGAGAAACTCGAGGCGGCTTTTTCGCAGCGTTCGACCTCCGGGGTCCCTCGCTGGGCCCCAGGACATTCAAAACACGGCGCAGGATGAGGAGAAAGTCCTGTGGAAAACGTCCAGACGTCTGGGGGTCCCATATTTTGAGAAACTCGAGACATCGAATGTCTGGGTAGGGGATTGGTATACGGGAAAACAGATCCTCCTCCTCCTCCTCCTCCTCCTCCTCCTCCTCCTCCTCCTCCTCCTCCCATGCTCTTCGATCGGCGCTGGGCCCCCTCTCTCGGCGCGCGAGGCCTACTGATACGTGGCGGTCCCGGAGACGCCGCCCGGTGCGCCCGGCGCCGATCCGAAAAAAAATCTGCACGGACCTCCGAAGGAGGAGGGAGGAGGAAGGAAGGATGAGGAGGAGGAGCAGGAGGAGGAGGAGCAGGAGGAGGAAGAAGAAGACGAGGAGGGGGAGGAGGAGGAGGAGGAGGAGGAGGAGGAGGAGGGAGGAGGGAGGAAGTGAGGAGAGATGAGAGGGAGGAGGAGGAGGAGGAGGAGGAGGAGGAGGAAGGAGGAGGAGGAGGAGGAGGAGGGACGGGTTTCTCGTGCCGGGTCGTTGACGGTCCTTGGCCCTGGTGAGGGCTCCCAGGTGAACGTTTTCTTACTCGGCGTTTTGTCTTTGGGCGGCACGGGGGGGAGGGGGGGAGGGGTCTGGCTCTGAACCTCTGCGTAAGGCGACGGTTTGCGACGGTGCGTCCTGTGGAGGAGACTGCACCTGCTTGAGACAAGCGCTCAGAAAGCAGCCAAGATCTACTCCGTAGCGGGGGCGGGAGTGAGGGGGTGCGAAGACCCGCGCCGATCGGCAGAACACTGCATTAGAAAACGATCACCTTCATGCTGATGGTCTTTTTCTTCGGGCGCACGGACACACAAAAAATAAAAATACCGCTGCTCCCCCGACCTCTCCGAGGGGCACGCTCTGACCAGGACTGCGACGCGAATCACGCCGTGGCGGCGGGGATCTCCCCATGGGAGGCTCACAAGGACGGAGACGAGGAATGAAAGATCAGGTCGGGCATGTCCTCTTACAGGCGGATGTTGGAAGAAAAATGGGAGATAGCAAAGAACATCCAAAAATACTGAAAATGATCGAGACATCGTCCCCAGACTGTCTTTTCACTATTTTTGAATACTCATCCTGAAGAGGGACATGCCCGACTTGAAATAAGGGCAGCGGTGTCGCTGTGTCTTTTGCTCCCCAATTAGGGCCTGCATGCACTCCCGCGCCGTCGTGCGATCCCACCAGACGTACCAGATGGTCAGACGCTCGCTCTGGGGGCTCCTGGAGCCGCTCGCTCCATTCTTGCACAGGTGCTGCGCCGAACGACTGTCGACTGTGGGTCGAAGTCGAATCAAACTCAAGGCGAGCTTGAGCCGAGCTAGACTCGAGCCGGAGTCGGGCTATCGCAGCATCGAGCCAGAGTCGAAAAGACTCATGAAGCCTGCCTCAGGCTGGAGCCGGCCGGGGGGTCTGCGCTGGAAGGGCCCCGAAGAGATCGGTCAAGCCGGGGGGGGGACCACGGCAAGTCCGCTCAAAGTCTATGGGGGCACTATATGATCTCTTGTGCGCTGTTGGGCGCTCTCGGGCGCGATGCGCGCGCTATGGGGCACTCTTCGCCGATACGCCTTCCATCCAACACGAGCCGAAGCTTCCGTGCCTGACTGTCTACCGCGGGGGGCCCGACCAAAATAAACCTTCCACAAGAAGCCCAAGACTGAGACCCCAGGACGTCCGTTGATTTCTGGTGTGGGAACGTCACGCTGTGAACAGCCAAACCATCGAAACCCGAGAAACCCAGGGCACCCTGGAGGCAAGCAGGGTGTTTCTTGGCATGGGTCTCCACCGTATGATTCGCGATAACGCCCGTGACCGACCTCACCCGCACCCCTCCCCTCCCCTCTCCCCCCCTGGTCACGTGTATTCGTCGTCGCCGTCGTCGGCATCGTCGGCGTCGTCGTCGCCGTCGCCGTCGTCGTCGGCGGCGGCGTCGGCGTCGTCCTCGTCGTCGTCGTCGTCGTCGCCGTCGTCATCGTGTCGTCGTCGTCGTCGCCGTCGTCGTCGTCGTCGTCGTCGTCGTCGTCGTCGTCGTCGTCGTCGTCGTCGTCGTCCTTCAGGGTCGTCGTCGGCGTCCTCATTTTCTTCCTCGTCCTCGTCGTCGCCGTCGTCGCCGTCGACGTCGTCGTCGGCGGCGTCGGCGTCGCCGTCGTCGTCGTCGTCGTCGTCGTCGACGACGTCGTCCTCGTCGTCGTTGTCGTCGTCCTCGGCGTGATCGTCGTCGTCGTCGTCGTCGTCGTCGTCGCCGCCGCCGTCGTCGCCGTCGCCGCCGCCGCCGTCGTCGTGGTCGCGGTCGTCGTCGGCGTCGGCGTCGTCGCCATCGTCGTCGGCGCCACAGCGCGACGGGACGGGCCCCCTTCCCCCACCCCCAGCCACCGCCCGTTCTGGCCACGGGAGTGTAACGAAAGAGCGGCCTCCAGAGCGAGCATCTAGAGATGTTGGGGGGCAACTGCAGTCGGGGCCTTGACCTAAGGAACCCTAAATAAGGAACGAGCCCCATTTTTTCCATAAGTTGACCTTCGATTTCCTATCGAAAACATAAGGAGAACCTGAGGCAAGCTGTGAAACACTTAAGGAACGCGGAGCCCCTCTCCAACCAAAAGGGTTCCTTCTTCAGGGCCCCGACTGTACTTGAGAGGTCCTCGTCGAAGGACTAAGGAGGAGTAAGCCCCACGGGCGGGCTGCTGCGCCGGATGGGGCCGCGGATTCAGCGGGAGCGAGCCGGATCAGGCAGGCTGAAGTCGGACTCGGCCGGACTTCGGACCAGGGCAAAGTCAGAATCTGCCCTCCCAGGAGCTGCATCCGAGTATCGTTTAACCGATCCCCATCCCCAGCGGCATGGTCTGGGCCCCACTGGCCGATTTACCCCCCCTAGTTTTTTTTTCCAGCGCGATATTTTGGAGGAGAAGGAGGAAAGCTGAGGGGACGAAGGCGGACAGACAAGCCAAGATCGCGAGCAAATGCAATGAACTGGCCAGTGCACGCCTGGTCGAGAAGGCAAGTTAAACTCACTCGCAGAGGTCAGAAACTCTAGAGTCCAGACCACAGTGGGCCAGCGCCTCGCAAAATGCAACACTACCAAACCCGATGGGCTCTGTCTGAAACCCCTGGCATAAGCGAGTACACAAACCCAAAGGGAGAAGAGTAGACATAATACCGGCTGATGGTGGATGAAATTCCAAAGCGATTGCGGGAGACTCAGGTCCTTCTCAGGGCAGAGGACCAATCATCAAGCTCCACAGCCATTCAATTACAGGACCGTCCCAATGGAATAGAACTGGCAAGGCAGAGAGTTGCATCCCGATGGCAACTAGAAGATAGCGGATGAAGATAGAAAGAAAAGCTGTCGGCAGACAGGCGCGAGCCAGCCCAACAGCTGCAGGATGCCCACACGGCCATGCCATGTGGTGGCGGCAAGCCAGCTAAGGCAGCGCGAGCTAGCAGCGGCTCCCTGGAGAGCGGCCAACGAGACCGGGCGGCACATCAGTGGCCCACCCCCACGTGCAGCCGGCGCAAGCGCCAATTGTACCCACTGGGAGTGGCCATCCCGGCGCACTCCGTGCCACGACCCCGGGAGAGGAGGGGGGAGAGAGAGGCGAGGAGCGGGGGAGGGCAAGGCGGAAGAGGATGAACTGCCGTGCATGTAGTCTATCGGCCACGCGGCCGGGACAAAGCCGACTGGGCGACTGGGCCTCAGAACAGCGCATCTCCTGACGTGAGTCTGGGAAACGCGGACGCTGCCGAACAGAACAACCCCCCTCCACCAGAAATCAACCAACAACAGAACGGCGAGCGTTCGCCCACTCGTCCGGCGGCGGGGTGGTGCCAGCGGGGCCAGACCGCCGCCCTGCCAGGACGTGATGCCATTCGCGTGCCGGCGGGAGGGGAGGACGAAGGACGGAGGACGGAGAGGAGAGGAGAGGAGAGGAGGGGTCAGCCTCGCCGAGCCTCGTGGCTCAGGCACGCGCGGCGCTCCATCCATCCGGCCTGGACGCAATGGCCGGAGATTCAAACGAGGAAGGGAGGAGGGGGGGAAGGAGGACGGAGGAAGGAGGAGAGGAGAGGAGGGGTCTGCCTCGCCGAGCCTCATGGCTCATGCACGCGCGGTGCTCCATCCAGCCGGCCTGGACGCACTGGCCGGAGATTCAAACGAGGAGGGGAGGAGGGAATGAAGGAGGACGGAGGACGGAGGACGGAGAGGAGAGGAGGGGTCTGCCTCGCCGAGCCTCGTGGCTCATGCACGCGCGGCGCTCCATCCAGCAGGCACGCACTGGCCGGAGAGTCAAACGAGGGGGGGGGGAGAGAAGGAAGGACGGAGGAAGGGAAGAGGACGGAGGGGAAGGGGATTACGATCCTCCAGCGAGCTCTCGAAGCTTGAGCCTGAGCGCACTGCGGCACGCGAGTGCCCCGCTGGAGGCTGCGTGGCGGGCCCAGCAGTGCGTGAGATACACGCCGCACGTTGCCAGAGCTCGGCGGCGCAGCTCCGGCGCGGTCGCCTCGGAGCACGGCGGGGCCATCAACATGAAACCTGCCAGTCGCAATTCTGGGGCATCCAGACGCGCGAGCCCCAGCTCGCGGTACACGGCTGCGGACACATGCGGGCAGTCTGCATAATGCTCGATAGAATCATCCCCCGCAGTGCATCCAAAAAAACAACTGGCGCGCCTCTGGAACCGGCGGCCCGTGGCCCAGCCGTTCCACAGGGTCCTGATGCAGGCAGCCAGCGCCCGCGGGGGGCACAGCCGAGCCACCGCGGGGAAAGCGGAAATGACGCGGTCCAGCATGACGTCCTCTGGGAGGCCGCACGCCCACCTCGAGAGCCGCACGCGCAGGAACGCACGCAGCTCGAGAGAGCGGTCAGGGGCGATCAAGCGCACGCAGGCGCGCTGCCAAAGCCGGCGTATACGACCCGCGTTCCCGGCTCTGGTCTCCAAGGCGATGCGCGCGGGCGTCAGCCCGCGTCCTTCGAAATGCTGTCTGGCGGCGTCCAGCTGGAGAAGGAACGCCTGCTTGTACCAGGGTGCCCATGTGCCCAAGCGCTCGAGCGACTGCGTGGCGTAGAGCCGCACGTGGCGGAGTCTCGCGGCCCGTTCTGCGACCCGGAGGCCGCCTTCCGACGCCGCCCCCCACTGGCAGACCCTGTACTTCGCCGCGAGAGATACTGCGTGCAAGTCCGGGACTGAAGCGGGGAAGCCCAGTAGCGGCAGACCGTGAACGGCAGCCGGCGGCGCCCACCGGTAGGGGCCAGGGCACAGCGACTGCATCGCCTCGGCCTCAAGTTTCGCCCACCACGACGGCGGTGCATCCAGTTGCGCCAGGAAGCCCAGCGTGGAGAACGCATACACCGAGTAGGCTAACGTGCTGGCGCACATCCCGCCTCCAGAGCGGCCCCATTCCTGCGCGCGCGCCGTGAACTTCGCGCGCGCTGGTTCCCACCCGTGCTCTGCGCGTGCCGGCCCCAACACGAAACCCAAGTACTTGGCCCTGTGAGCGAACCGGATCCCGCCCCAGGAAGGCGCTCGCGCCGTGACATCCTGCCGCGCGCTCTCGGGGCCCCCCGTCCGGAGCGGCACCCAGTAGGTCTTGCCGATATTCAATCGCAGACCCGAGATGGCGGCGTAAGCGTCGAAGAGCGTCTCGAGCGCGCCAGCCGCGGCAGCGCCCTGCGGGAGGACCATCGCCAGGTCGTCCGCGCAAGCGCGCCGAAGTGCCCGCGGAAGCGCCCGGCCGAGGCGCCGCAGGAGCAGGTCGGCGGCCACCGCGAAGAGTAACGGAGATAGCGGGCACCCCTGCCTGATTCTGGCGGTGACAGGGAAGCCCTCGTGCGTGCTTCCCCCGACCACCAGCTGGCACCTGTTGTTGCAGCACAGCGCTCCCATGCAGTTCAGCACCGCGTCGGGGAGGCCCGAGTCTGCGAGAACCTCTAAGAGGAAGTCCTGTCCGACGCTGGGAAACGCCGCAGCGAAGTCGAAGAAGACTGCGGCGCCGTCTGGTTCCGTCAGCGCGGTGATCTGCATCGCCTCATCCACGTCTACCACGTTGGCGAGCAGGGAGCGGCCGCCGATGAACCCGCGCTGCTCTGGCGAGACGACCTGGGCGAGGAGGGGCTCGAGGCGGTGGCGCACAGCTCCAGCCAGCAGCCGGTTGTCCGTATTGACGAGGCTCAGAGGGCGAGTGTCGCCCGGCGCGTAGTGCGGCGTCCCGTCGGCCCCCGCGCCTGTCGCCGCTTTCGGCAGGAAGACCATCAGGCTGTCGTTGTAGCTCGGGAGGTCCCGCACGATGGCCTCGTTTGCCCCCGGGCTGCAGAGCTGGCCGTAGGCGCTGTGCAGGACGTCCGCAGCCAGGGGGCCGAGTCGCTTCCACGCTGCGAACGGTAGCCCGTCTGGGCCAGGCGCGGTCGACGGCGCGGAGCCCAGCGCTTCCTGCACGTCGCTCAATTGGAGGCGCCATCGCGGGTCCTCGACCGGCGGAGGCGACGGGCCTCCGCGCTCCGCCCGGGCGCGCCGCTCGTCGAGCAGCCACTGCCGGCGGAGACGTGCGTCCAGGGGTCGCGCGCGGAAGGTCGTTCTCCAGTGATCCCTCAGAGCGTCTGCCATTGCTGCAGGGCTCGTGACCACCTCGCCCGCGCGATTCAGCACGGCGGCAAGGGGCCGGCAGCGCCCAGGCGCCAACCTCGCCAGCAGCTGCCAGTTCCGACTGCGTCGTACGGCTGCTTGGTGGGCGTCCAAAGTTGGCAAGTCCGCCCGGAGCCGGCGCAGCTCTTCCAACGCGCGCTCGCGAGCCAGCTCCACTGCATGATCCCGAACCGCCTGCAGGCGGCCTGCCGCGCGCAGCTGAGGCGAGTAGGGGTTGTTTACCAGCTGGGCCAGATGTGGGTATCGCTCCAGGCAGCGACTGATGCGCCCCAAATGGCCGCCCTCGGCAGCCCGCAGAAATTACATCGTGACCCCAACCCAGTCTTCTGTAGCCTCGGCCGGGTGCCCGTGCGCCTTCTGCCTGGCCAGTGCCGCTGCGACTGCCTTCATCGCTTCCTTGAGCAAGGCCAGACGGCGAAGAGGCGAGGCTTCGGGCTCAGCCGCCGCGCGCTCCTGGAACGCAAGTGTGACGCGGTAAGCCCAGTCTGCATGCTGGATTATCTCGGGCGCGATGGGCCTGTCGGCCGCCGCGGCGCGAGAGGGCAGCCTGCGACCTGCGGCCACGGCTCGGTGGTGCGATAGCCCCGGGACCCATTCCAGTGCGACCGCATAAATGTCTCGATCGAGCTGCTCCGCCGCCTCCTGGTTCCAGTAGATCCTGTCGAGCCGCGACGTCGCGGTGCCGCTGCGGTGCGTCTGCGCGGGCTGGTGGAGCTCATGTAACGAGAATGGCTGGAGCGCTGTCTGCTGCCAGTGGCGCTCCTCGGCACGATCGCGCCTTCCAGAGTGGCGCCCTGAGCGTAGAGTCACCCGGTCAGCGTCCTCCACGACCCAATTGAAGTCGCCGGCGATGACCGTGAGCGCGCTCACCTTGGGGCGGAGCGCTCGCGCCACTCGGAGCCGAAGGGCGGCCCGTTGGCCTGGGAGGGAAAGTTCCGGTGGTGGTTGGGCCGTCGCTGGCTCCTGCAGCGCCTGGGCGGAGCCCGTCGGGAAGTACACGACAATCAGATCCAAGGACCCCTGAGGGCCGCCCAGGCGGAGCGCTGCTGCGCGGCCGGCTTCAATCTCAATCCAATCACGCTCTGGGAACTGATTGAGAAAACGGTTTTGCACGATGATCCCGACGCCTGCCCGGGCAGCGGCCCCGTGAGACCACCACGTGCTGCAGTCCCGCGGGCCGCACCATGCCTCTGCTGCCCCTGGCATGCTGTGCGTTTCCGTCACAAGTACGGCATCGTAAGATCGGGTCAAATGCTCCACGTGCCGCGTCTTGGCACGGAGCCGGCCCGGGTCCGCAGCGAACAAGGCCTGCGCGTTCCATGTGGCCAGCGACAGTGCGCCCCTGAACTGTCCCCCAACAAGGGGCGCTGCTGCGGCGCTCGGTGGGAGCGGCGGCGGCGGCTGCGGCGGCAGCCACGGCGCGGGGGCTGCGGGTGCCGCAGGCGGCATCGCCCCTAGTGCACGACGTAGCCGAGCCGGACCCGCAGAGAGTGAGGAATATCTTCATGTTGATGCCCATGCCCATCCCGAGGATCACAAAAATCATGATGAGGAAGAGGGGGGAGAGGAGGTAGAATACGTCCTTGATCGTCCGATCTGCCCCGGCCCGGCTCCGCAGCGTGCGCCTGCAGCAGGAAGACGACGTCGATCATGAACAACTTGCAGCCCAAACGAACGATCGCTTGAATTACCGTGCCGCTGTCCCCATCGGCAGCGGCAGCAGAGTCCCGAGCTAGATGCGCGCGGAGGCGGGCGGCTGGGTCGCCCTCCCCCGCCGCCCGTTTCCCGATAGCTCACTTGCATCATTCACCACCCGCACCGCCAGCCTGTCCATGCCCACCTGGAGGGATCGTCCGTGCAGGGCCTGGCGGACGTCTCGCACCTCGGCTTCGGAGGCGAGATACAATCGTAGCCGTCCAGGCGGTGCGGTGGGGTCCGAGGCCGCCGGGTAATGCCAGCATCCAGGCCCAGCGGGACTGCTCGTGCTGGCCTCTGTCAGGGTGATGCCGAGCGTCTGCATGATGTGCGCCACCAACTGCCGATACACCCCCATCACGTCGTAGCCCAAGGAGCCCTCCACATGGATCTCCGTGATGTTGCTCATGGGTGCTACCTGTCCTGCCCTGCCTCCTTTCGTCCTCCTGGCAGCTGTCAGCTGCGCCTGGGTGGCGCCCGGGAGGGCCCAAGGGCGCCCGCCGTGGCGCGAGGGGCGGCACTTCAGGCGGAGGATGGCGTTCTGAACGTCCTGCTGCATGAGCTGGGTCATCGCTGGCTTCCACGTGTCGGGCTCCGCGTCCGTGAGCAGCAGCACCTTGTCCGAACGGAGTGGGACCATCTGCGTGCTCAGCCCCCAGGCGTGCAGCGCAGCCCCGGCGCCCGTGAATTCGCAGATGAGCGTGGACTCGTCCGCGAACATGGCCGTCGAGCCGAAGAAGGCCCCTTGAGGCAGGGACGTCCGGCGGAGGAGGCGCCAAAGAAGCTCCAGCTCCAGCGGGGTCACTGTGGGCGGGAACGTCCACTCCATGCTGAGGCGCTTGCTCTCCGTGGTGGAAAGCAAGCTGCGCCGGGGAGCGCCGGCTCTGACATGTTGCAAGTTGGTGTCACCCAGCAGTCGAAGCACCTGGTGGAGTGCGTCCGCTGGGAAGTCCAGCAAGTAGCTCGGCGCCACCTCCACGTGCAGCACGGGAGCTGCGGCTGGCAGCACCATCGGCGGGCGTCGCGGCATAGCCGCTGCCACTGTGAAGATGGCGATGCCGTGGAATTCGTGGCGCGGCCCATGCAGGCCGGGGAGGATCATGGCGTGGGGCGTTACGGAATACTCTACCCGCTTGGTGAGGGGAGCCCGACTCTCACCGAGAAGTGGATGCCACCACAGATCCTGGATGGCCTCTGGCGTGTGGCAGCCCCGGAAGAGCTCCAGAGGGGCCACGAGGCGGAGATATGGCGGGCCGCGTGGCGCTGCGGAACCCTAGTTGGGGATACGCGTCGTTCCCTTCGGGTTGCGAGGGGTGCATCCCCAAGTGGGGTGGTAAATTGGGGGGGGGGTCTCGAAGGGGACGGGGATGGGGATCGTTGAAACGATACTGCGCACCCGAGCCAGAGCGAGCGTCTGGAGCTGACGCTCAGCTGCACCCCCGCCCCGAGCAGCGCGGCCGCAAAGGGCGGCCCGTCCGGCAGGCTGCGCAGCTCCGTGGAGCCCGTCAGCGACGTCATCGCCGCGCGGCCCGCGCCGCGCCCGCGCTGCGCCGCGCGGCCCGCGGTGCGAAGCCCTCTCGCGCCCAAAGGCCGGGGACCTAGACCCCCTCGCGCTGCGAAAAAACACGTCGCCATTTTCCACCTCCAGGGGGCCCTCGCCGGGCCTCGGGACCGTGAAAGAACGACTGAGGATGAAAAACCGGTCCCGGGGAAGGGGTCCAGACCTCTGGGGGTCGAGGCTGGGAACAAAAATCACGACGTAGGAGGTCTGGGAAGTGCGAAGGGGGATCACGCAGCCGGGTCCCTATCAGCGGGATGTATAGAGGCCTCCTAGATGGGGTCCGAGAAGATGGGGTCGGAGAATCGCGCCGCATCGGCGACGTCGGCGATGCATCAGCGACATCGAGTGGGGAAGACCGGGCTCAGCTCGGGCAGTGCGAAGGGGGGATCACGCAGCCTCATCTATCGGCGGCGAGCCCAGGGGGGGAATTGATCTGTGGCAACGCATGGGAGCCTCCCATATCATCTTGTCGGCTCTTGCGAATCGGCGCAAGCCGACGCTAATCCACGCGAAATCGACACTAACCGACGCTAACCGAGGCTAAATGGGCGTTTCCTCATCGACTACCAGACGTTAACTGACGCTAATGCATCTGGAGTGCACAGGGCTCCCATGATTGTGCTGCCGAAGCAGTGGAGGGGGTGAGCCTTCTCAGGAGGCGGCGGGGCGTCTCAGAAGCCCTTCTGAGCAGCCGTCTCTGTCTTCGGAGAGGACTTAGGAAACTTCTTCTCAGAAGGCCGGAGGCCACAGAGGCCTCCCAAATGGGGTCCAGACATATAGACGCGAAAGGTCGCGCCGCATCGGCGGTGCATCCGCGATGCATCGCCGATGCACCGGCGACGTCGGCGATGCAGCAGCGACGTCGGCGTGGAGAAAGTCGGGCTCCACATCGAGCCGCATCGCCGATGCATCGGCGATGATGCATCGGCGATGCGGCGCGATCCCTCAACCCCATCTACTCTAGCCGAATCTGGGAGGCCTAGATTCGCGCCCCGCGCTGCTCGGGCAGTGCCAAGGGGGATCACGCAGCCTCGTCTCTATCAGCGGGGTGTAGTGGCCGAAGCCGTGCCCGGAAAATCTGCCTGAGTGTGACCGGAACCGACGCCCGAATTGCTTCGCGCGCTCCAGAGTATGACCGAAATTGTGGGTTCGAAACCAAAGCGATTATGACGTTTTCGGACACAATTTCGGTCACACGACGTTCTCGGTCACAATTTCGGGCACGTTTTCAGCGACCGATGTGTTTCGGTCATTTCCCTTTTCGGCTGATCGGGGCCGCGCGCCATACAGTCGGGGCCCGAGCGGAAGAAACCTTCCACAAGAAACCCAACCCTGGAACCCCAGGAGGTCCGTTGACTTTTTGGCGTGGGAACGTCACGTTTTCCATAGCAAAGCCATCGAAGCCCAAGAAACACTGGGCACCCTGGAGGCAAGCGGGGTGTTTCTTGGCATGGGCCCCCCTCTGTAGGGGTCACCGCTCTTAGGAGGTCACCCGCTCCTCGTGGAGAGCGAGGCTCCTGGAGCAAATCTCGAGGAAAATCTTTGAAGTGTTGGGCCGTCTTGAAGGCTCCAGAAGGTGCTTGGATACCCACGTTCTAGACGAAGTGACGCTTCCTCAAGAAAGTGGCGACCCCCCTACCGTCAGGAGAACAATATTGGTAATGAGTTGCTTGATCGCATATTAAGATATCGGAGACCTCCCGCGCACGCACGCACACGCGCACGCGCACACGCGCACGAGCACGCGAACGCGCTCAAGCTCGGGCTCGGGCTCGGGCTCGGGCTCGAAATCTGGCTCGGTATCAAGCTCGCACTCGGGCTCGGGCTCGGGGTCGGGCTCGCGCTCGGGCTCAGGCTCGGGCTTGCGACCGAGCCTGCGCATGCGCGCGCACGCGAACGCGCACGCACGCAAGCACAGGCGCACGCACAAGCACACGCACACGCAGACACACACGCAGATGCACACGCATGGAAGGGCACGCACGCGCACGAGCACGCGCACACGATCAGGATCAGGTTCGGACTGCTCGGACTCGAGCTCGGGCTCGGGCTCGCTCGGGCATGCGCGCACGCACGCGCACGCGCGCACCTGCGAAATGCCGCCGTCTGGGAGCGAGGCGCAACAAGAATGCGAGGACCCCCACCGCTGGACCCCGTCGCATCCCCATCCCCTCGAGCTTGTTGCATGACGAAAGCGCAAAGCGGGGTGATGTGCCAGCGCCACTACGATGGGAAAAGGTTCCAACAGCTTTGGCCGGCAAGAAGGGTGGGATCCAGCATCCAACGCTTCATTTCCAGAAGAAAGAAAGGCGGCATGACCGTAACCTTCTGGCGTTCCACGCGGATTTCTTGCATCTGCGCTGGACCCCCTCCCTGGCGCGCTCCGCGCGCCAGGGGCGGCGCCGGAGGCGCCGCTGGGGGGGCCCAGCGCGGATCCAAGAAATCCGCGCGGCGCGCTTTATGTTTACTCCGTTCTGCTTCGTCGAGTTACTGGGGACAGTGGTTCCGGCAGCCGGTTCTGGCGAGGGCAAGTCGCTCCAGCAGCTGATGCCGACTGACAAGAAGAGGCAGCCAGAGCGGCCCGCGCCCCAGCCACGAACCCACCCTCAGCCCGTCAAACAAATCACTGGAAAAATATCCTCCCCCTCCTCCTCCTCCTCCTCCTCCTCCTCCTCCTCCCCCTCCTCCTCCTCCTCCTCCTCCTCCTCCTCCCTTCTCCACCTCCTCGTCCACCTCCTCTTTTTCTTTTTCTTCTTCTTCTTCTTCCTCCTCCGCCCTCAGCACGTCAAACTTTTGTCCTCGGCGGCGAGGTATTTGGCTGCACCAGCGATGGAGCTACACGGGAGCACCGAGAAGCGAAGTGGCCGGCGTGCAGGAGCGGGAAGAGGGCAGAGGGCGCGACCGCGCAGGGGGGGGGAAGTAAAGGCCACCTGGAGGTGGAAGAGCTCTCACCCGAGTGTGCACTCAGCCCGTCAGACAAGTCACCAGCAAAACGTTGACCTAGGTGTAGTGCAGGGCTGAACCTGAACGGTGTTTTTTTCCGTCTTCGTCTTGTTTTCGTTTTCCCTCGCCTCGTCTTCAATCCGCCTCTGGCGCAGAACGCAGTCGAAACGGAAACGGCCCACGAAATCGCCAAAACACCTTTCAGGCTCAGCCCTGCTAGTGGTGGCACCCCTTGGCGTTGCCCCGCGCTGCCGCCCAGGGGAGGGACGAAGCCGCGGCCCAGACGGCATTGGACCCGACAAGGAGGACGTGTCGGGCGCCACGGCTGCTCCCGAGCGGCTCCGGGACGTTCTGAGAGCCTCCCCAACCGCTCTTGAGCTTCGTTTGACCGATCCCTAGGGGAGAGGGAAACACTTCGTGGACACACACACCCCGCCCCCCAGACTCAAAGTTGGCACGCGCGGGGGAGGCTGCGGTCGAGGTGCAACGCATCAGACCCACCGCCAACTTCGAACATGGGGGGGGGGGGAGGGGGAGGCGTTCACAGATGAATGTGGCATGAATGTTCGCTATTTTTTCCGAGGCCTGTATCCCCCACCGGCGTGGCCTGAGCCCCACTGGCCGACTAACCCCCCTAGGTGGGTATGTAGGCAGTTCCCTTCGGGTCTCGAGGGGCACATCCCCACCTGGGGGGGTGGGATGGTGGGGGTCGGGATGGAGATGTGGATGGGGATCGGTTATCAACGAAACTCGGCTCCCCGGTGGCCGTTCGGGACGATCCGGGCACCCCTGGAATGCTCTCGGCGAGGCGCCGCCGCTAGAACGCATCCCGAGGGCGGCAAGCCGCCAGGAAGCCACGAAAGCGCCCGAGCGCCTCGATCCCGAAACTGCGAAACACATCCAGCAGGGGGCCGAGGGCTCGAGCCCGGTGGCTGCGGGCACCCCCGCCTGCCGAGGCCCGTGGCGCGGGCTCCTCGCGCGCTCTCGTCGGCTCCCCGAGGCTCTCGCCCGCCCCGGGGGCGGCTCTCCGGCGAGCCGCGCCTCGCCGAGGGCGGGGAGGTGCCCGGCTCGGCCCGGACGGCCGCCGGAGGCCCGAGCTGCGGCCCCAAAGGCCGAGAGGGAACCGCGGCGCACGGCCCGGGGCGGCTCTGCTCCTGCGGGGGGTCCCCTGCCAGGGCCCGGGCCTGTGCCAGGGCCCTCGGCGGGCCCCCAAGACGAGGAGCTGGCCCGGGGGAGCGGGGCGCGGAGAGCCGACGGTGCGAGCGACACGCGCAGCACCGTGGGGAGTCACGGCCGAAGCCAAGGGCCCGATCTCTCGGCGGCATGTGATCGAGCCGGATCGATCTGTGGTGGCCCCCGCCCAGGGCCCAAAGCCTGTCGAAAAGGCCTGGCGTGTAACCGAAGCAACGCCCAGAGCCTAAGGTTGCGAAGAACTCGCGACGGCGGAGCTCTGTAGGAAGGATGGGAGAAGAAGGCCCTCCTCTCCTCCTACACCTCCTCCTCCATAGTTTTCCTTATGGCCAACTCCTCCCTGTCGCACCCCGAGACGCGTCTGGCATGGCAGGACCTGCGTTTCGCCTGAGACCTCCCCACCATCCATGATACGTAAGCTTAGAGTGTGCAACACCTTCACGAATGGAGTTCGGGTGGTTTTCAAAAAGTGGCTCTCGCCTTGGCGCCGCGCACATTCGTCTTGAAAGTGTGCCAGACCTTCGCGGATGGAGGGTGGGCAGTTTACAAAATGAGGCTGTCGCATGGGCGCCGCGAGCAGTCGTCTAAAAGTCCGCTAGAGCTTCACGGATGGAGGGCGGCTCCTAGTCAAGATGTGGCTATCTCCTTAGCGCTCGTGTCTTGACACGATGTAGCATTGCCAGGGTACAGCAGTCCCAAATCCCTCATCGCACTTCCTTCCTCCCTCCTGCCCACTATCCTCCTCCTCCTCCTCCTCCTCCTCGTCGCGAACAATACCAATACGTAAGACGAGAATGCGGTGACATTAACCCGGCCGGCCTTC